GTAAAAGATGAAAAACCAGAAATGTTAGATCATTTAACAAAACATTTTGGATTTGCAATGGGTATTGAATTCAGAGAAAGCTCTTTACTCATTGGTCCAAAAATTCATGCAACACTAAAGAAAGGCATGGTATTTAATGTTAACGTTGGATTGGCAAATCTTATTAATTCAGAAGCTACTGATAAAGAAGGAAAAATTTATGCTCTTTTCATTGGTGACACAGTTATGATTAATGAGGTATTATGTTATGTTATATTGTTTATGTTGGATTTAAATTGTTATATATTTTTTTTATAAATATGTTGCAAATTAAAATGATATGTTTATTTTAGGGACAACCTGCTACAAATTTGACACCATCAAAGAAAAAAGTAAAAAATATTGGAATATTTGTTAAGGATGAAGAAGAAGAAGAGGAAGAAGGAAGTGGAAAAGAAAATGAACCTAAACCTGAGATTCTTGGTCGTGGAAAAAGAACAGCTGTAATAGAATCTAAATTAAGAACAGAACATAGTTCTGAAGAAAAAAGAAAACAACATCAAAAAGAATTAGCACAACAATTAAATGAAGTTGCAAAAGCTCGATTGGCACAACAGTCTGGTGGAAAAGAACAAGAAAAAATACGGAAATCAACCATATCATATAAAAGTCTAAGTCATATGCCACGAGAACCAGAAGTAAAAGAACTGAAATTATATGTTGGTAAGTATTTTTATATAAATTAATTTTTATATATGCATTATATTACATTGCATGTTCATATTTCAGATAAAAAATATGAAACTGTAATTCTCCCTATTTTTGGAATTCCTGTACCTTTTCATATATCCACAATTAAAAATATTTCACAGTCGGTAGAAGGAGATTATACATATCTCCGAATAAATTTTTTTCATCCTGGTGCCACAATGGGTCGAAATGAAGGAGGATCTTATCCACAACCTGATGCTACATTTGTAAAAGAAGTGTTAGTATATTATTTTGTTAGATTTTTTATCATTTATTATGATATTTACAATTTTTTATAACATTATTATTTTTTAGAACATATCGAAGTACAAATACCAAAGAACCTGGTGAAATTTCAGCACCGTCTTCTAATTTAAATACAGCTTTTAGATTAATCAAAGAAGTTCAAAAAAAATTTAAAAATAGAGAGGCAGAAGAAAGAGAGAAGGAAGATCTTGTAAAACAAGATACTTTAATACTATCTCAAAATAAGGGTAATCCAAAATTAAAAGATTTATACATTCGACCAAATATTGTTTCAAAGAGAATGACAGGAGGATTAGAAGCACATGTAAATGGATTTCGCTATACTTCGGTTAGAGGCGATAAAGTTGATATTCTTTACAATAACATTAAGAATGCCTTTTTTCAACCATGTGATGGCGAAATGATTATATTGCTACATTTTCATTTAAAAGTATATATCCTTTATATTATTTTTTTTTATTTATTTTTATAAAAACTTAATTATTAAATATTTATATTAAACTTTTTTCAGCACGCAATCATGTTTGGTAAAAAAAAACATGTGGATGTACAATTTTATACAGAAGTTGGTGAAATTACTACAGATTTAGGGAAACATCAACACATGCATGATCGTGACGATCTTGCTGCAGAACAATCAGAACGTGAACTTAGGCATAAATTAAAAACTGCTTTTAAAAGTTTTTGTGAAAAAGTAATGTTTAATGACTAAAATATTTTATTTTGCAAAATTAATAAATACGTTTTAAGAAATAATAAATATTATTTAGGTTGAAAGTATGACAAAGCAAGAAATTGAGTTTGATACACCTTTTCGAGAATTGGGATTTCCTGGTGCACCATTCAGGAGTACTGTTCTTTTGCAACCTACTAGTGGATGTTTAGTAAATCTTACAGAATGGGTAAATTTTATCGTTTATATATATTTTTTATATATATTTATATATATATATATTTGTATAATATATAATATCAATTTATTATTTATAATATTTATTTTAGCCTCCGTTTGTTATTACTTTGGAAGATGTTGAACTTGTTCACTTTGAAAGAGTACAATTTCATCTTAAGAACTTTGATATGATTTTTGTTTTCAAAGATTATCATAGAAAAGTCGCTATGTTAAATGCTATTCCCATGAACATGCTGGATCATGTAAAGGAATGGTTAAAGTAAGTTTTTTTTGCGTTTTTTCTCTTTTTTATTAATTTATTTCTTAAAAATTAATTATAGATATATTATATTTTTTTTAGTTCGTGTGATATCAGATATACAGAAGGTGTACAATCTTTAAATTGGACAAAAATTATGAAAACTATCACAGATGATCCAGTAGGATTCTTTGATAGTGGTGGTTGGAGTTTCTTAGATCCAGAAAGTGATGCAGAAAATGATGAAGTAGAAGATGAAGAAGAAGAAGAAGATGATGCTTATGAGGTATACAATTAAATAATTATAAATAATATAATATAATAAAAATTTATGTGAATTTTATATCTTATACTTTATTTTTAGCCATCTGACTTAGATAGTGAGGAAGAGTCTGATGATGATTCTGAATATTCTGAAGCTTCAGAAGACTCAGATAGTGAAGGTAATATTCAAAAATGTTATTTAAATATTATAAATAAAAAAAAAATATATTTTGATTATTATTTAACATTTCTTTTTTTATTAAATTTATATTTTAGAAGAGGAATTAGGTAGTTCTGAAGAATCTGGTAAAGACTGGTCTGATTTGGAACGAGAAGCAGCTGAGGAAGATAAAGAAAGAGGAGAAGATCGGTTTCATGATGATTATAATTCAAGTAAAAAAAAGAAAGGAAGTCGAAAACATTCACCTTCACCATCAAAAGATAGGTATGTTATATAATCTTATATTTTCGTAAGTCTGTTATTAACTTCATAGACTTCGTATCAACATCATCTATAATTTATAGGCATAATTCGAAACACAAGAGTTCTTCAAGTTCAAAAAGTAAAAGTTCGTCCAGTAGTAAAGACAAAAAATCATCATCGTCGGATAAACATAGGTAAGAAATTACGTGATTTTAGAATGTGATATAAAATTTTGATTATATTAGACTTAGAAACATATAATTTTGTTGTAAAATTGTGTTAAGTATATGCTTTAATAATTAAAGATCGGATCGATCACGAAGTGGAGGATCACACAAGAAAGTGTCTCCTTCCAAATCATCCAAACACAGGTGATTAACAATAAATATATGTATATTTGTTGTTATTATTTTTGATATTTTATTTCTGTTTAGCCCCAAGAAGAGTGATAAACACGATAAACATGATAAACACAGATCATCTAATCACTCTTCATCTAGTAGTAAGAAACGATCTCGTGAAGAAAGTACAGAAAGAAACGATAGGGGATCGAAAAAATCTAAGTACGTATAAATATTTTATAAATTAATTTATACCAATATATAATATTTTTTATAATATTGTTTATGTTTTTATTACAGAAAATAAGAAATATTGTCTACGCATTGAAGGAAATAAATATGAAAACACGAACACTAAATGTTAATTCTATATTAAATTTTCTTATGGTACGTTGATTATATTTAAAAAATAGTACATTTTCTTGCATTGATTTATTTAAACTGTTAGCAAACGATCTGTTGATATTATTTAAAAGTTTGATAGTGTGCTACTAAGATTCAAATACTTGACAGTATCTACTTGATAGCGACATAATATGTATGAACTTGTACGGGTAATTTAACATAAATTTATGTATGAACATTTTTTATCACTTGTATATAAAACATTCTTTTTTAAGTAAAAAAATGTCAATGTTAATTATATAATATAGCTACTAACATGTATCATTTCATTCCATTATTCGTTTGCTAGTAGTATTCAAACGTATATATAATAATTTATTAAGTTTATGAATTAAAAATGCATTAAAGCATTAAAAGGCATTCATTGTACAGATAGTATATATAAAAACAAGAAAAAACTTTTCTTGTCTGTTATATCATTGTTCTTTATAAAATGGACATGAAAATTAGTTCGTAATTATAATAAACAATAAGAAAATTTACAAGTATAATGTAATATGCTCTCAATGCAAGACAATGCACTAATGGTAATTATCGTACATAAGACATCCAGAACATAGATATTAATTTACTAAGCGAAGAAAGCTGAGATGGATCAAAATCTTTGATAATTCTGTTCGCATAGTTCTGAAATTTGTACCTTAGTAAACAAAATAAATACTTTTTTATGTGTACAAAAGAAACCATGTACAAAACATTGTCACTTACAGTGCTCACAAAATAGAATTGTTGTTATTTAAACACAGTTATATATTTTTAAAAACGGCACTATTATTGAATTTTTATTATTTTTTACAAATTTAAACAAAAATTAATTTCACCTTTTAAATTTTATATAATTATTTTCTGTTAATATTAAAAAAAGGAAAGATTATGAAAAAATTCATGTGAAAGAGAAATTAAAATAAAAGTAGAATTTTTAAAAATTTATTATATATATATTTTTTTTTTTTTTTTTTTTTTTTTTTATAATAAATGTAAGATAGTTTGATCTATTTAAATTTCTCTGCAATGCCATGTAACAGATGCCAAAGAAGAACCGTTTCAATAATAACATAAATGTAGGTGAAGTGAAAGTGTAACTCTGGTTAGTGGTTCTGCAGCTTTCTCCAACATCGCTAGGTACATATATAATTCTGGCAGGTTACTTAGTTCGACATTTCACAATTTACGAATGACACTTTTTTTTTTTTTATAATGAATGATGTTACTTGGAATGCGTGTTGTAATATTCCTTTTACGAATGATGTTTGCAGGAAGCCAGTTTAAAGTATTTTAAGTATGTAACAAATTTTATAAAATCGTAAAATAAATCATCATGATTTTTTAAATAGTTTTTTTATTAAGCATATAAATTTTTATTATTGAATTATTTTTTTATGAAGACAATTTTTAAAAATTAAAAATTGTACAAATATATTATAGTATTTTTAATCATTTATTTATCAAAAATGGAAAAGTCTAAATACATCGTATCATTTTATAAATAATTGTTATAAAACTTAAATTTAAGTAAAAAAATTTTTTACAAGGAAACGACGATAGCAATGGAAAAGAGCAAGCGAATTTAATTTCGTCCTATTTGGTCAATCTGGGCTTGGAGATTGTTCACCACTTCCGATGGAACATGTGCTCCCAAAATTTCAAAAAGATTGATCTTCTGCTCTCCAGGAATTGACTCATAAGCTGCCAGTTCAATACCTTCTTGAACTTTTTGTATTGTCGCATCTTTTGGAATAAGATAAGTATTCTGTGCTTGTTTTATAGCCTCATTACTAAAAATTTGACCATCTTTTTGTGGAAATGCCATAATTATTTCCACAACGAATAATATTGCTAATAGCATGAAACGAATTTCCATCTAAAATAAATAAATGTAAAAATTGAATAATTTTTTAATATTTCATTATTTTAATTTTTTTACGTAACTTTAATTTATTATTTTATTTTTTAAATATATTTTTTAAAAAATTGTCAAATTTTTTATTTTTTTTTTAAATGAAATTTTTTTATCATTAGATTATATATAAATTGATGAAAATTTCAAAGCATTAGACATCAGGTTTTGTTTCAATAATAAATGTGTGAAAGTAAAAAACATCTTATATTTATCTTTAATGAGATAATTTTTTTTAATTTAATTTTAATTTAATTTGGAATTAAAAATGATATTTATTTATTTATTATTGTATTTTATCATTATAAGAAAAAATTCATTTTTTGCAATTTTTTATTTAATGGAACGAAAACATACAAAATAATGAGTATATATATATATATATATATATGCTTACGCGAAGAAAGATATTTATGTAATTATATTGTTAATAAATTATTAATTACATAATATTGATTTATTTAATTCAATATCAAATTTTCTATACTAATTTTTCTATAATATTTTCTATAATATTTTTTAATATAAAATTTAAAAATTTTAAATCGTAAAAATGATGAATATATAAGTATATAAACTATAAATATATGTGATATAAACTATAAATGAAAGTAAACAGAAAGAATCAATAGATAATGCGATCACAAATAAAATTATAAATTAAATTTTCTTAAATAAGCGTTTAATTATTATATTTATATAATGTAACGAATAATTAAACGAATGTAAAAATTAAAAATATAAACTAAAATTTATAGTTACATAATATTTTCGTGCAAGAATTGATGCAATATATACAAAGTGCAATTTATAAAAATAAAAAAGAACTAATTAAAAATCGCTACAATAATAATTTAACTTTATTAAAAGAATGATGAAATTGATAAATTATATCCTAATAGCTGATAATTTTTTATATTAAAATTAATAAAGAAAGAAACAAATAAAATATCGATGAAATAATTTTGTTTTTTATTATTGTTTTATATTTTACAATTATAAAATAAAATAGAAACGATATTCATTGATAATTTTAATTGTGATATCACAATCAATATCTTTACAATTTATCTTTAGATTTTCAAACTAATTAATTTAATTCTTTAAGAAAATGTATTTATACTTTCACTCTTATTAGTGATAAATTATAATATAAGATACAATTTTCTGTCAAGTAGATTAACTCTCATCTATTTTATCCTAAACAAAAAAAAAAAATCTAATTTTAAATTTAAATTTATAAAAAATTTTAACTTACATTGATTTAATGTTGAATTCTAGAAATAGATAAACCGATATATAATTGCATATATCAATAAAGTCAATTTAACTGACTAACAATTATTCAATAAAAAATATAATTTCCTGATGTCGATGCAAATGCTGCAAGATTAATAGTAAAAGAAAGCCTAATAATAATTGTAAAAACGATTTCGTGAATGGTACTCACGTCAGTAGTGTGTTGTTTCACAATTGGTTAACGTGAAGTGAAACTAAGCGCGCAATCGGCAGAAGCGGCTTTTATACTCGAAATGCTTACCATACGGCAATAGTACACCACTCTTATATCGGAGAATCTTTCTTCCAATTAGTTAATACTTAAGAAAAAAACTTAAATTAAATTAAATAATATTTAAATTCGCAATTACTTTTTTTCCGTTCTTTTAGTTTTTTATTTATCATTGATTTCTCCAAATGGAGAATTTGAAGTAATTATTGCCACTATTATATATATTATGTACTTTTATATATATGATATTATATTTCATCATTATTCATCATTATTATTTCATCATTATTATATAGCATATGTAATTATAATGTTCGTTTATTTTGCTTATTTTTTGCTTAACTAGATTAATTTTTATTGTAATAAATATCATTAATAAATTTTTCTTATAATAATAATAATTATATTAATATTAATAATAATCTTATAATAATAATATTATTATATAATAATAATTCTTATATAAAAATAACATTTATAATAAAAATATTTTTTTTATAATAAAAAGAATTTTAATTATAAATTATAAATATTTTGATATATTGATTTTGATTTTCTATAAGACAATTTAATAATATATAATATTTTATATATTTTATATATGTAAAATATATATATATAATATATATATTAATAATATATATAATTAATAATATTTCTATAATTATTTATAATTAGATATATACTTACATGATTATATATACTGATTACTGATATTTTTAATTCAAATAATTCTTCTAAACTTTTCACTTTTACAAATACTAATGCACGACTCGTTATAAATACTGTGGCCTGTTACCAATATGTTATGAAAAACCATTAGTATTCGATTAACGTTTCACTTTTAGTTTCCTTTTATTGGTTTGTCAAAAAAATATTATTTTTTTTGTTATAATATTTAATGTAAATTTAAATATTTATTTATCTTGTTTTTCTTGAAATATTAATAAATACAAAAATAATATTCATTTCTTAATTCATGAAAACCTACAAGAAAATATCATTAAATTTTTTATATTTTGTACTTTAGATTTGAAAAAATTTTATTTAATTATTTTTTATCATATATAAATTTATATATAAAATTATTTTTAATAATGAATTTAATCTCTTTTTATTTCTTGTCCAATAAATTATTATAATGATAATTTTATTTTAATGAAGATTAAAAATTCGAAGCATTATCTATATAAAAATTAATCAAAGAAAGTTTGAGTTATGTGACAAAACATATGAAGATATAGAAATAAACACATTTTGCAAAAGAAATTGTATTCGTGACTTATTTAAATCGAAGTTTTGCGATTACTAAAATTGAATTAGTTCGAACCTGAACTTTGTATACATTTCATATATGCCATTAAATATACTTTCTACATGGTGAGACTTGCCTCAATCGAATTCTATTACTAGTCACAAAATATAATTTAAAATATAATATATTATTAACTAAAATTTTCTGATCGCGGATAAAATTTAAATAATTTTTTGAAAATATTATAATTTTTCTTTCTATCAATGAATAGCTTTCAAGGTAAAGAAATTCCTACAAAAAATATAATCCTGTTATTGTATAATTTGTGCGAATTCATAAAATTCACTTCATGGATTAAAAATACGAATATTTTTTTGCAATTTCTCATTTATTATTTATTCTATAATTCTTTTATATTTTTAAAAATAAATTAAAAATAAATGTATAAAAAAATTATAATGATAAAAAACGATGGATAATATGGAACGTACAATATCTTATATGATACTGTAAATTATTTTATTTTGTTTATTTAATAAGATATACATTGATTTTTATACATTCGAAATATAAATATATAATATATAGATAAATTATATAGGTAAAATCCATGAATTTAAATTGAATTGCTTTTATATCTTAGACATTAATTTTTATGCAAAAGAAACATATTATCGAAATATATTGAATTTAAATAGTATATCCTGGAAATTTTGCTGAGAGCGGTTGTTGAATATCGATCAAGAAATAAATTGTACCAGCAAGACCTAAAATAATACAGATTATTAATTTAATAATAAATATAAATAATAAATAATAAAACTCGATAATAATTTGTAATAAAATACCTTCAAATAATGAAAATGGTCTATCAGGAATCTTTTTTCTATGTGTTCCATAATCCATACACCAATCTGCAAACTTACAAGCCCTATAAAGATATTTTACATCCTGCACATAAAATCAATATTTTATTGATATTTATTAAAACTATATTATATATTTATCTATTACATTATCTATTACATTATTATATTTAACTATTATATATATATTATATATTTATATTTAAATTTAACTTAACCTTTGTTTGTTGAAAAAGACATAAAAACGTATATGCATTTCCAGATACGCCATGACATATTCCATATCCTTTTTTAAGCACTCCTCTTGACCAAATCAATTCTCCACATTGCAGAGCAGTTTTTAAATAATTTTTATTTTCATATATCTATATATTCATATTTAATAATATATTAGATATATTAGATATTTAATTACTAAAAATTAGAAATTAGTTAAACAATATTAACCTCATAAGCTAAACAGTACAACATAGTCATTCCAGGTGCACCATGGCACCATTGTATTTTATCACTGTGGCTTCCAATAGCAGTTGGAAAGTTTCCAGAAGGAAATCGTAAATTCTGAAGAAAATCTAATGCAGGTCTTATATCTTTCTCTAATTGATCTTTTGTTAAATATTTTCGTGCCTATAATATTAGTTATGTTTAAAATTATTATACTTTTCAAAATTAGATAAACAGGATAGTCTACATAAAATTTTTACAAGTTGTTTTTTTTAACTAGCATGTGAAAATATGCTAGGAAAATGACTTTTTAATTATGAACAATAACAAAAAATGTTTAAAGCAAATATTATTCAGGCATTTTAATAAATAGAAATTAATATACCATTCATTTAAAAAAAAGAAGGTGGTTTCTTTCCTTTGTAGCCGTTGCAAAAAAATCTTTTGTATTTCAAATCAGCCTTCTTGTATCATTGAAATATAAAAAAAAAATCGATTTCTATTATAGTTTCCAAGAAAAAAATGTTTTACAATAGTATGCAGACTATTCTATATATTAAAAAAATAATATTATTATATTACTATAAAAATATTATTATCAATTATTAAAATATAACAGAGATGTCATACTTGTAACAATATGTAAAGTATTCCAGCTAATCCATGTGCACCACCAATATATTCTGTTCCATGCCAAATATACATTAAAGGTGTTTTGTACCTTCTTGAAGCAGAATACAAATTTCCAGATTTAATTATGACTGCAATAACCTGATATAATATTTTTTTAATTAAAATAATATATATGATATTATTAAATATTATATATTTAACAGTATATTACACTGTTATTTATTTTAAGTTTAATTTTTATTACCTTTTTAATAAGTTCATCTTCTATAGGAGCAGGAAATATATTTGAATTCAGAAAAAGAAGGGAAAAGAGATAACCAGCTCTTCCATAAAGTAATTCATCAGGCAAACCACTATTTTCATCCAAAACATAAGAAGATAGTGATTTTATTCTGGAAATAATAATAAAAAAATATAAAAATTAATTTATTTTGTTATTAAACAATATTATATACATATTATTTCTAATATACTATAAAATATAAATTAATTAATTTAAAAAATTAAAGTATTTACCTTGAAATTATATCTTGTGTTGTAGTAGAATTGTTTTGTGAATGAAACATAATTGCAGACAAAGTTAATGGACCCACAATACCAGTCAAAAATGTAATTTCTCTTTTACTTCTGCATCTATGTATACATATTCTTATTAATTCCATTGCTTTCTGTTAAAAAAATATATATAAATTTAAAAAATAATTTATCATTTAAAAAAATAAAAATATTAAAAGATTCATACATCAATATAGTGTGGTTCATTAAAACACTTTCCATATTGATAAAACATATATGCAATTCCTGCTGATCCAGTATATACAGAATAATCATCATGATAAGTCCACTGGTGTTCATTTTCTTCTAATTGATCTATTAATCTCTTTGTTTGTACTTTTAATGTTTCTTTATAATTTTCAGTGATCTAATAAACATAAAATTTAGTATATAAATTTCTATTTATTTATAAATAATTTATAATCTAATTATTGATTAATTTATAAATAAAATACTTACTTCATTAGTTGCTGTATTCACAACAAAATTTACTGTAGCATTAGGATAATCTTCAAATGGATTATCATAATGCCGAGCAGTGTCCATTTTGATACGAATTAAATGTGTAAATCGATTAATTATATTTATATATTTTATGCCAAATCTTTCTTTCTTTATTTTATATATGAAACTTGTCTAGAAAAGATAATATAATCTGATACTTTATATTTAATAATAATTTTAATATTTTAAAATATTATAAATATATCACACATTATAATTTTCATATTCATAAAACAATTAAAAATTATTCATAAAACAATTAATAATTAATAATTATTGATTATTAAATATTATATTGTGTTATATTGACAAAATTAGTAAAAAGGTTAGAAAATAAATAGTTAATTAAGTGATATTTATCAAACACATATTGATATATCTAAAAATGAGTATATAAAAAATTTCAAATAAATTTTTTTTAATATTAATTATATTTTAATAATCATAATGAAAAAAAAGATTTTAAAAACATACTGAGAAGGTAAGAATTTGTCGCATTATTCTAAAAATATACTATATCGTTTATTGACAAACCTGCTATAAAAAATTAAATTTTTGAATATAACGTTTGTAATATAAAGAAGTTTATAGTTAAACAAGACTTTTATATTTAAAGTTATAATCGTAACAAAATATTCGAGTTATCGAAACAAAAATACTTATGAAGCAACTTACGAATGAAATTATCACTTCGTGTCGTTTCCAACGTTACCGATTTGACATATAATCAAATTGAATATACAAGATGAACTGTCTTACCTTTTTGTTATTTTGTATGTATTGAATTTTTTTTTTCTTTTATCTTTTAATAAATATTAAGACGAAATCAATAACTATCGTATAAAATTGCTTTCTATTTTATTTCTAATAAAATCTCTCAATTGTATCTACCTTCCGTGTATTTTTCTTCTTTTTCACTTTTCTTTTTTGTCATTTATTATCTGTTCTTTGTTTATGTTGTTTTTCTTTTTGTTTCTAACCACTTCCTAATTTTTTTCTTTTTTATTCTGTTTTTTTTAATTTTTATAATATTTCTTAATATATTTTTATATATTTCTTTTACTCTTCGCCATAAAATAGAACTATAAATTTCTTGTTAAAAACTCAATTATGCTTTCAATATTAAAATAAAATTAAATAGTTTATTTATGTATATATTAATATTAATATATTTTTAAAATATTTATGGAGACTCATCAATTCTAAAGACAAAAAGACAAAAACACAAAAGTTAGTATACAAAAATATTAATTAAGATTTATTTATTAAGTTATAAACAATCGAAATTTGCTTGAATGAAATAAGATAGGAATAAAATGTTGCGACGCTGAAACGGAAATAGAACATTTATCACATTTTATTTTTATCTTCATTTAACACAAATTTCAATTATTTATAAATTTAATAAATTAATTTAAACAATATTTTTCAAAATTTCGATTATTGGCAGTTAGAAGAAATAATTCTGATTCTTGAATTTTTACTTTTTCTCTATTTTTCTTTTAATATTTATTCTGTTTCTTTATATTTACTTTTAGCACTTGACCACAGACTAGATAGAGGATATCAAATACACTTTTATCAATTCTTTTTAAAACTACAATGTATCTTAATTTTTTATAAAAAATATAAATATTACATTTTTTATTTTACAATATATCTATAAAATGCAATACTTCATATATACATGATACATATATTATATATGTAACAGAATTTGTTTCATTTTTTTTTATCTGTTAATTTTATATCGAAATTTATTTCTAATTCCAACTCTTAGTAATATTATAATATTATTCTGAATAGAATCGGTAGAAAAGATAACATTAAAATGATAAGGGTTTGAGATATGGAATAAAAAGTACAATAAATATTAGATTTATTCTATATCTCGTTTGTGGCGAAATATAATTATCAATAAAAAAAAAATGGTAAAGTATAACTTTTATGCAGAAAATTCTTTCATATATGAATTATCATAAAAAAAAAAGTCGAAAAAACGAAAAATATGACAAGAAAATAAAATATAATTATGATTATATTCATAATATATTCATAATTTATTATCGCTTCTATCATTTATAAGAAAAATAATTATTCATTTTTATTTATAACATAATGTGACATAAAAGAATTTTTTCACGATATAATAATTTTTATCATTATATCTTATTTTGTTATTCATTAAGTTATTATAATTTTTTATTAATATATAATAATTTCTTATATTTCCTGAATAATTATTTTATCTTTAAAAAAAATGAAATCAAATTAGCAATTAAAAGTATCATTTTTCGAATAAATAAGTTAAATAATTTCTAATTCGTTAATCATTATATAATCACAAAAGAAATTTTAATTCTGAATGAATAAATTTGCCTACTTTCAATATTATTCTATTTCGAATTTACATTTTGTTTTAATCTTCAAAAATTTAAAAAAATAGAATTTTCTTTTACTTTAATTTTACAATTTCATTGAAACTTATTTTATATTATCTTATAATATAAAAAAAAAATCAAAAAGCACCTTTTCCTTAAGTAAAACTTGATATATTAAAATATTTCTACAAAGTCATCCGACATATCGTCGTAGCGCATTATTTCGATTTCCTTCCATGATATTAATCATCCAGACGATGATAGAACTCGGTGATATTCGATAAATAAATTTTATTATTCCAATCAAAATGGAATGTTGCAGAAATCCAGTCGTTACATTTTCTTTGCCTATAGTTTTAATCGCGCTCTGAACGTATTTTTCCGGTGTTGGAACCATCCATCCTGATCGTGGTGACTCTGTGGTATGATTAGTGACTGTGCCTGGTAACAAACACTGCACGATTATACCATGTTTTCCATATTCTATCTGCAAATCTCTACTAAATTTCACGATATACGCTTTTGTGGCTGCGAAGACTGTCAACAGAGGGCTCGGTAATACTGCTACCATGGAGGCTACGTTGACTATAACTCCTTTTCCTCTAACCACCATTTGTGGTAATAAAATACGACACATATTTGTCACAACTACTACATTACAATGAACAATACTCATATAGATCTTTTCTTTATGAGGAAGATCCAAGAAATATTCTGGATGCGGATATGACATGCCAAGATTGTTGATTAATATGCCAATTTCTAGGCCGAACATTTCTTTTTCGATAACATTATATGTTTCCAAGCCTTCCGATAAATCTAATTTAATTACTTTTGTTTTCACATTGTACATTGCTTCGATATTACTTGCAATGGTTTTTAAATTTTCCGTATCAGGACTAACTAGAATCACATTCAATCCTATCTTCGCCAATGTTTCCGCGTATGCTCTTCCAATTCCATGGGAACATCCTGTGACAACTGCCCATTTACCCATAGAGCATAAATCAACCACAGACACGGAGAAGAAATTCTTATATATTCGGTATATTATATTGCAAGAAAATTTATAACCCCAATATATAATCGCTGCATAACCTATTTTCTCGGCCAACATAATTCGTAATAATGATATAGTTTCTGTTCTACTTTTCAATGGATGTCACAAGACGATTTATAACTTCATTTATTATTTTAAGCAATTCGTCACATTCGGGTGGAAAATCGTGAAAAGAGATTCATGTGCGATACTCAACGCACGTAGAGCGATGACATATTGTGGGAGCGTGAAACAGTCGAACAGAAATTAGTAGAATCATAAAAATCAAACAGCTTTCTAATCTTTATCACATATTAATTTTGAATTATTTTTTTATTATTTATTTTTATTAGACAGAATTATTATATCAATGAAGTTCGAAGTTTATTAATTTGTTCTATTAATGCTGTTATATTGGTTCCGCCTGTAACTTTATATTGTTCAACACTATGAGAAAAATTCCAAATTTGCCTCACATCTTTTTGAAATTTAGTACTAAAAAATATAATATAAAAAATTGGATATTTCAATGAAATAAATTTTCATTTAAATTTTCAATCAAATAATTTACCTTATAGATTGTAAATTTTTAAGTGACAATTTACAAAGAGATACTTCTAATAATTCTGACAAAGCAACATTTTCCAGTTAAGTGATGAGCTTCTCTAAACGGTATCTATTAAAAATTCATTATTTAAAAAAAAAAATTAAAATTAGATGATTTAAAATATTAAAAATTTGATTTATAATAAATTATTTTTTACTTCGAATACTAACCCCTTTTCGAACAAGATAATATGCCAGTTGCTAACATAGTAGATGTTAGCGCTTTTTCGCACTTTTTGTTTTTTATTTCAAATGTATTTATTGCATTTGTAGCGATAACAAATATACTGTCTAATATATCGAAAGTAGAAAATATAGTTTCTTTATCTTCTTGAAGATCCTTGTTATATATAGACGGAATTCCTTTCAAAGTAGTTATGAAACCCATACACTAGAATATGAAATGCCATAAAACATAATTAAATAATCTAAATGTACAAATCTATGCATCTATCTATCATTAAAAATAACTTATTTAGAATTACAAACTTTTTTAAATAAAATACCAGCTTTTCCTCGAATTAATTCCATACAATCAGGATTACGTTTTTGAGGCATCAAACTACTATCTGTAGAAAATTGATCAGCAAATCTCACGAAACCGAATTCTTCGCTGCTATAAAATCAAATTCTCAGAAAGACGACTTAGATGAATTACCGTTAATGAAGACCAAAAAAGAAACTCAACTTTAAAAGAAAAAAAAAATTTATAATATGAAAATTGAAAAAAGAATTTTTTTCTTTTTTGACATCTTTCTAACATTTCAATTAAATTTGTTCTTTATGTTTACATCTTATTATTGATTTCATTGAATATATGTTATAAATATATTGTATAAATATATAATATATCGTTTAAAATGTTTTTCGCTTACCAACAAAATCTCTATCTCCTATAGCATATATGCTATTCTCCGTTATTTCAGAAAAATCCAATTCAGCCAAAGTACGTCGATCAATTTGAAAAGGATTCCCAGCTATTGCGCCACTGCCCAAAGGCAAAATGTTTACCCGTCTTTGAATTTCTTGTAATCTCTCAATATCTGCCTTAGCATACCATGCATAATTATAAACAAAATTTCAATTCTATTATTTTAAATTTCAAATTCCAAATAAAAAACATATCTATACTATATTATTTTCATTCATACCTGAGTAACCATTGACTCCATTTTATTGGTTGAGCACGTTGCATATGAGTGTATCCGGGCATAATAATTTCTATTTCATTTTCAGCTCGATTGACAAGAACCTATATATATCTTTCGTTCCAATTATAGTTTTTCTTTTTGCTGATATATTTTGACTTTCTTACCTGAATGAATTTCATCAATTTGTTTGAAAGCACATCTATAGCTTTTCGAAGCCATAATTTTGTATTAGTTATAGTTTGATCATTTCAACTTCTTCCGATATGTAATTTCTTTGCAACATCCCCGATTAATTCCTATCAAGAAACCAATAAAAAAATAAATATTTTCTTTGAATTCTTATGAAAAAGAAAAATAGAAATATTATACTTTCGTAAATATTCATTATTTATTTGTTCTAATAAAATAAAAGCAATTTAAACTATTACATTCATCTTAAAAAAAAATGATATTATAATCAATATGTATATATACCGTAAGTCGACGCTCATTCGCAGTATGGATATTTTCATCTTTGATATGTATAGTGAATCGACCCTCTTCCCATTCAGCTTTCATTTGTATTAAATGTTTTTTTTATATTCGATCGTCTTAGCACATGAAATTAATATTTTTGTTATAACTAATTATAAATTATAAATTATACAAATTTTTTTTTTACTTGTTTGAGACCATTCAGTATAACTTGTAATTCTTCATCTGTGAGAAGATTGACCAATCTTATTGCTTTTGCATATGTCACACTTCCCTGAAGATTTGTAGAATATTAAAAAATGTATTTATTATTATATTAAATATGTAATAAATATATTTCTAATTTTTTCTTTTTCTTTAATGTTATATTGTATATATAAATGTTTTATATAAATTTTCATATATTTAATCATACATATTTAATATTATTTCTTATTTTTTTATATACAAACCTCTATATCTTCTGTATAAATTCGTTTATCAATATCAATCGATGCGTTCAGATCATGAAATTTTGGATCGATATTATCCATAAAACAGCCTCCCCATAATTTTTTGTAATTTTCTTGTTTGCATGTATATAATGTGTATATATGTATATATATATATATATATAGCTAATCAATACGAATCGTGTCTCGCATTGATAAAATCGAAATTTACTTAATCTCTGTATTAATCAATTGTATATATATCATAAAAAGTGAAACTCATCTGCATGACTCGTCAATTACAACACTTTTCTTTTGTATAAATTGTTATTTCAGAAAGAACATAAAACGCAAATTCTGAAATCTTTATAATGAAATTTCTGCGAGTTTATCAATAATACCACTGACACAAAAGAGATCGTGCTGTTTTTTTTAAATATTATACATATCATAATTACATAAGATAAATATAATATAAATACAATTAATAGGAAAAAAGAATATTTTTTTTATTAATGGAAATAATATGAAATCATTATTCATGTATCGTCTTTTAAATGTAATTATTATTATCGATAAAAATTAAATAATTAATTTTGATTTTTAAAATAATATTTTGCATCTTTTTTAATCTAATCTATCTTTCATTAGATAGATTTAATTTTTATATATGTTATATAACATGTTACTTTTTTCTTTTAGAATAGAAGAATAAAAATAAAAAAAGTTGATCGCATATAATGATTTACTTATCTAAGTATCTAAGGATCTTATCTTGGAATGCAATTGATCAATTTAAGTTACAATCGAAAAAACAACAATTGTACAATACAAAAGAAGAAAAATGTCATAATGTTTATATTCAAATATTTAATTGAATTAATTTCTTTCTTCTATTTATTGTTTATATTTTTATTATATTTTTTCTATTTATTATATAATTTTTGTAATTGTACTTTTTTTAAAATATGCACGATGTTAATGCATTTGTGAAATACTTTTGAAGAGTCGATTCTAGAAATTAAAATAAAAATTAAGACATTAAGATTATTAAATTATAAGCAATTGAAGTTTATATAAAATGGCAATAACAGAAATATCTCATTTTATCTCTGTTTTGTTTCATTTAATGCAAATTTCAATTGTTATAATATATATATAATTTAATAAAACAAATCGTAATTAATATTTTTATATTGACTTGACATTAAATTTTTATTTTGACTTTTAGGAATAAAAAAATGTCATAAATATATTAACATTCTACAAATTTCTAAGTCAAATAATAATCAGAGAAAATAGCTGAAATTGTTTCTCATTATCACTATTGTCTTTTTGTTTTTATTGTCTGAATACGATAAAAAATGGTATATATTCGATGATAAAAATAGTGAATTAACACTTGATTGACACAAACTGTATGTGTACATTTATTGTCCTTAAATATTTCCCTTTGATTACGTGTTATATGTGGTTTCATCAAAACCATATCATTTTAGTTTTAATATAGAACGATACGATAATAGTTATCGTTATTTTTTCTCTGACTTTGTTTCTTCTAATACTTTTATAGATAAGTTAAAATATATAAAGCTAAAATATTTTTATTTATATTTATTTTCGGTCCAAGTAAATGCGGAATTTATCAAGTTTTTTTTATTATCGATTAAAAAAATTGAAAAAGTTATGTGATTTTTTTATATAAATGTACAGAAATGTATTTTCGATATTAATTGATTGATAATTCGATAATTGTATTAAAGTTCAATTAGAATGCGTAAAAAAGGACAAACTCATATCTGAATTACTTGAATTACTCATAAAAATACTTGAACAAAGCGTTTTCCATTTTTGATATTAGTGATTAAACAATGAGAATGCGGAAGAAACATTCTAAGTGATAATGATTTGTTGACGAATTATTTACATACAACAACTGAAACAGTTTAATTTAATACTTTGTTTCGTACATTAGTATCCTAGCAATAGTTATGTACGAAATCCCATTTCTCGGAATAATTATCACGAAATTTAGTTAGAAGTTGATTATTCTTTTTGTTCATAATAAATAAATGAATATTAAAAATAAAAAACATATTGTGACAAGTGTGTAATTGATTTTTAAAAAAGAAATTATGAAGTTTAAGAAATAAATTATGTATTGATGTGTTATTTCGCGTAAAAAATCAAAAACCGAAAAAAATAAAGACACTGCATGTTTAAAAAACCGGATTAAAAAACAAAAAAGAAGTAAAAATTAATATAAGAAAGAAATTATGGATGAAAACGAGAAAAA